TGGCTTTTATGATGGCTGTTGTTGTTGTTTATTATTCAATAAATAATATTTTATATACATAGTAGTATTTAGTATTGGGAAACAGTGCGTGTGTTTGTAACGGTGATTTTTGTGACATTGTTCCGCCATTAGATGGCGACAAGAGACTGTTTTACGAGTCAGCATTTAAGACTTTTATATTGAAAGAGACTAAAATGGAAGTTATTTTTACTTTTTAATAACAGCTTGTAAGACGCAGTTAACAAATGCAGTGAGCAGCACTGTCATCAGAAATCACCCTTAACCGGTGAAAGATAGAACAACAAAGATATCGCTTTCCTCAGCGGACATTCAAACTAATGTTTTATTGTGAATATGAGATTGAGCTGAAGAATGAATGTTGTGTCAGATGCAGGTAATCACACTCGCGCAGTCCATCTCTCTCACAATACTCTACTCTACATAATACAGTGAGCTTTTAATTAAAAAATACAATAAGCTTTTAATGAAGCAGCTCCACTTTCCTACATTACTAGTTCTAAAGTGACGTTTTGAGCTCAGCTATTAAACTGTCAAACTGAGATTTGAATCCGTGGCGGAAGGAAGTAGTTCCACACAAAAAGGTTTTTAAAGACACTCCGTTGTTGTTTTTCTTATATATTTACACTCGTGCCATCGAACTGTTGTATAAATGCAATATCACTCTCGTACTCGGGCGATACCGGTATATCAGCGGCTGTGATTAGGCAAGAGGCACGAGGCCACAGGAGTGGTCCATGCTGATATAGAGCTGGTATCGCTCTCGTACTCGAGTGATATTGCTCATATAAATAAATATATATATATATATTCATTTTTAAAAATACATTTAATAGCCATTTTGTTTTGGAATCTCCCCGGCACAACATGATCAAAGCAAACAAAAACAACCATTTTGTGTTGGAATTAGGGTTGGGTGATGTCTACCAAATTGGCATCGGACGATGTCTAGAGTGAAACATCGTGATGGACGATGACATCGGGGGGTGGGGTTAGGGGTGTGCCCGAAGCGTGAAACAAATAACGTTCTACGGAGCCACTAAAAGGTTAGCCGCTTGCTAGCGGTAGCCTGTTGCATTACATGAAAGTTCACTTACTACATACACGGAGTAAGGAGAAATATGTGATAGGACGATGGCGAATGATTTGCTGATGCTGAGCACCAATGACAAACATCTAATCTTGTCAAATGTGTGGTAAGTACTGCCGCTCCATAGTCCTTGTGATCACGAATCTCAAACGTGAAAGTGAAAGTAAAATGAGAGCGCGCAATCGAAAGCGCTTTCAAAAGCGGCTCCCTGATGCCCGCAATTTATATACAGTCGCCTATACTTACCCAACGATATAGGTGTGCCCGAAGCATGAAACAAACAACGCGTTAAGGGCCTTTCACACAGGATGCGGAAAGCGCTGCGCTAAACTGGCCAGAGCAAAGTAGGCGGAGTTTTCAAAACTTTTAGCGGGAGTTCTATATGTCTAGTCATTTTTTGTTCCAACTTTACGGTCAGCAGCAAAATATGTATCTGTCCCGTGCTAAGAAGCGAGCGATAGCACTAGCCCTGCTAGTAAGAAGAAGAAAGAGAGCAGCAAGGAAGAAGAGACTGTGGGTGCATGAAACTCTCAGGTCGAAGGTTTGCGAAGGAGCTATGTTTGGATGCCCCGATTCTATTTCTATAGCGGGTAAAGTCACAGAGCGCAGCGGCAAAAGTTGAACTATTTTGAACTTTTGGATTGCGGGAGAGGGGTTGGGGTGGGGGATCACGATGTCAGCTTAACATTGTGATGACTGTCAGCCATCGGCAATGGACGATGGCATAGTTTATCGGCCCAACCCTAGTTGGAATCTCCTTGGCACAAAACGAAACCAAACCAAACAAAACGAAACAAAACAAAACATTTTTCCTAAGCATTACTATTCCTAATGCATGAGGCCAATTCAGTGCATGAGAATACTGTAAAAGAGAGAAGACTCCAGCATCTAGCTCCATTTCCCAATTCTAACAAGCATTTTACTGAAAGCAGGAATCTAATATTCACACATCAGATAGTATTTGCTCTGTTTACTCATAACAAATGATGTTTTATTTACGCATAACAAATTGTGTTATGTTTCTCTGAAGGATAGAAGAGAGAGGGGGAATGTAAGAAACCAAACAAAACGAAACAAAACAAAACATTTTTCCTAAGCATTACTATTCCTAATGCATGAGGCCAATTCAGTGCATGAGAATACTGTAAAAGAGAGAATACTCCAGCATCTAGCTCCATTTCCCAATTCTAACAAGCATTTTACTGAAAGCAGGAATCTAATATTCACACATCAGATAGTATTTGCTCTGTTTACTCATAACAAATGATGTTTTATTTACGCATAACAAATTGTGTTATGTTTCTCTGAAGGATAGAAGAGAGAGGGGGAATGTAACCACTGGTGCCATGACCCAGAGTTGAAGAATATAAATAGAGACAGAAAGAGGGAGGAAAAAACAACACTAAGAAGTGCACTATGAAGAAGGGCAAGTCTAATTAGGGTCTTGTTTTAGTTGCCATCGCTCTGATAACACAGAAAGCTTCCTGAGGCATTATACTTGCTGCAAACACTGACCTACATTCAGTTGTACAACATCTCTCTCTCCCCAGGGAGGCTTTCAGAAGTTGTTTATGCTGATCCAGAGTCAGTCGCTACTAAAAGGTGAGAACTGAGATCATTTTCATTTCATACACTTAGATACTCAGTTGTACACAGGAAAAAATAAAATAAAAATAAAAGCAAAATAAAACAAAGATAAATAAAATAAAATATGAAGTAAAAGTAAATTATTTGTGTTTTTTCATCAAAAGTTTATAAATTGCTCCACTTCTGAAAATGTTTTCCTTTTCTAGTCCTTTTATTTTTTAAATCCTCCCTTCCATCTTCCACATTTCATAATCCAGTCAGTCCCTGATAAATAAAATCTATAATAAAAATAGTTTAAATAAAATAAATAATAAAATAAAATACTTATATTTATTTCACCTGGAAATAATTCTGCATTTCCCTTTTAAGACACTTCCTGTCAGAGATATGATGTAGTTTTCAATAATGTATAATTTAAATAATATATTAAATAATAATATAATATTTATAAAACATAAATAATAATATTTAGTAAATCTATTATTTAAATTAAATATATTAGCTATTTTATAATTATAATTTATAATTATTATTTTATAATTGTAAAATAATGTATATTATATAAATAATCTGTTTATTTCGAGATATCAACTGCTGTTGGATAGCACTAGTGATTATAATGTTTGAAAGTAAATCGAATGACAATTCATATTAACCCTGCAATAACATAAATAACGCCATCACTGATGTTGCAACAACAATGATTGTCAGTGACATCACTGAACAATCAGTCATTGTTATAAAACGACAACACAATTCATAAACACAGCTACATGGACATAATTCAGTCGTTCACCTGAGCAGCAGTTTTAAACTCCACTTCCTTAAATAAACACACCCCTCCATTTTATAAATGCTTTTTTATAAATGCTTTAAGCTCGTTATGTTTAATAATTCATGCCTCAGAGGAGGCCCATTCCATTCCAGAGTCACAGAGACAATGACATATTTATCCAATAACACTGCGGTTACAGACACAAATTTGCTCCGATTTTTGTTATTTGTCGTCTGAAGGGAAAGAAAGAGTTACGCGTGCGCTGAAGAACTCGTGGACGTATTGTTATGATGCTCCCTTCATGAAAAGATGAGCAGCAAGTGCTTCGGCCAGAAGCTTTGTGTGTGAATACAGAAAACGAAGGTTAAAGTGCTGATGCCAATGCTTTTCTACCCTCAAACCCCGAAAACAAACAAACGAAACTGCAGGAGGAGACGGAGCAGCACAAATATGACATTGACAAGCAAAATAACAAAACAAATCCAATCAGCTCGGGTATGTAAATATGGGAACAGAAACAACTAAAAACAATTTACTAACAATATGTTTATCTGTCTGTCTAATTGTTTATCTGTTTGTACATTTATCTATCTGCTCACCTGTCTATCTGTTTATCTTTCTGTCCATCTGTTTGTTTTTGTGTGTGTTCATTTATCTATATATCAGTTGTTTGTTTGTTTATTTGCTCATTTATGTTACGCCCATCTGTCTGTCTATTTATCGTTGTTTCTTTATCTTTATCTTTATCATTTGTTTTTCTGCCTATCTGTTTATTTATCTGTATTCATTTGTTTGTTTATCTATTTGTTCATTTATCTATCACCACCCGTCTGTCTGTTTGTTCATCTATCAATCTTTTTATCTATCTGCTAATTTTATCTATATATCATAATTTGTCCATTCTTTTATCTATTCATTTTCTCTCTGTTTATCTATCAATTTATCTATATAACAATTTATTTATTTATTTGTTCATTTTTTCTATTGCCCACCTGTCTGTCCGTCCGTCCATCCATCCATCCATCCATCCATCCATCCATCCATCTATCTATCTATCTATCTGTCTGTCTGTCTGTCTGTCTGTCTGTCTGTCTATCTATCTATCTAGCTAGCTAGCTGTCTGTCCGTCCGTCCGTTCATCCATCCATCCATCCACCCAGCCGTCTGTCTGTCTGTGTCTATCTATCTATCTAGCTGTCTGTCTGTCTGTCTGTGTCTATCTATCTATCTATCTATCTATCTATCTATCTATCT